TATAGCGTTTTATCTACTTATTTTTGTGAAAAATCTAAATGACGCATATATGCGTTCCCCGGCGCCTAGTAAAGATCTGAATCACGCATATATGCGTTCCCCGGCGTCAAGGTGTTAAATAGAAAAAACACACAACATCTTATAAGCAATGTTTTGACTTTAATAGGTACCCTTGACAATGGAAAAAAGTTTGATTCCAGCAGGGATCGTGGGGTGCCCTTTAAGTTCAGAATTGGAAAGGGTGAAGTAATTAAAGGCTGGGACCAAGGGGTTGCACAAATGTGTGTCGGACAACGAGCCAAACTAACTTGTTCTCCAGACTTTGCTTACGGTAGCCGAGGCCACCCTGGAGTATATCCTTTAGTACAAAATTATAATAGAATAATATAAAATAGAAATTAGATTTTCAGATTTAATACGAGATTATTTATTTATTTATTTATAGTTTAATGGTAATTTTGTCTAATGATAATGTTTTATTAAGTTTACTTTTTTAATACGAAACAAGAGAGTATTTATATTAGACTTGACAAAGACACACTATTCCGCCAAATGCCGTTCTCATCTTCGACGTGGAGCTACTGAAGGTGGAGCCTTGAAATACCTCTTAGAGCGTACCAAACTGACCAAACATATTTCAAACAAAAAATAAAAAAAGAACCTTATCAAATAATATGTTAAGTAGTCGTCGCACGAATGGCACATCCTACGCTAATTGCCTTAATTCAATCGCTCGACCATTTATACGAAAAAAAAAAAAAAAACTTATGTCGCGGTTTTCACAAAGTAATGTATGAAAACATAGTGTTTTTCGGCATCGCTTGGAAAGGATATGCACTTTATACAATGTATAAACTGCAAAGATCGTTAATGTCCAAACAATCGCACATGCATGGGTGTTAAACTGTAAAATTATATATCACGATGTCGTTCAACTGATTGCTCTCCGAGAGATGCGCACCACTTTTACCTTGTGTACTTCACTTAAAGCCGACTTAATCGTGTTCCTATGATGAGCGGTTGAATAAAGGGACCTTTTTCAAGCATTTTTACAAAACAATTTGTGTTCATTCCATTCACTATGTATTTGGTAAATTTTCGAATATTTTATACAAAAATTCAACAATAAAAAAATCATGAACAATGTAACACAATACAGGTCTTACAGAATAAAAAATACAGTAAAATTGTTTTACTCCAATAAGTGTACATTTCTTTTTACACATATGTATTCGATAGAAAGTTTTAACGAAAGACATAGGCATAAAAACGAAAAAAAATACTTAATATAAATATTCAGTTTACAATTTTTAAAAAATATCTAATGTAAACAATTAAAAATAATAAATCTGCGTTTATGTTTACGACACAATGTGTATTTTAACATATTTACAGAACATTTTAAAACATTTTTCTATATCGATAACAATTTCTTTCTAGAATATGCATGAAAAGAAATCACTTTATATGAACAATAAGCACGATTATAAATATTATCGAACATATGGTTTACACAATTTATGCATCATTTTTATCATTTTTGCTAAAATTTGATTTTTACATATATATTTTACATATATGTATATATATTTCATATAACAAAAATACTTGAATTGGAGATTCTATAAAAAAGTATTAGCGATTTTATAATGTATGACAGTCTATACATGTATATATTCACATAAACAAACACGATATAACCCATAACTCAACATTGCATTAAAAAATACTTAACAATAATATAAAACAAAATTCTAGCTTTTTTCCACAAAAACAGCTACTTACTAATTGTGCTACTGGACAATGTGTACAGGACCTAGGACAATACAACGCTAAGTTTAGACTAAAATGCAACAAGAACGATTTGTTTTTAATATACAAACAGCTCCGGAAAATGGATTTCATAAGCTGGGGTTTGACTCGGTTTAGCGTCTGTCTGTGGTCCAGATGTAGGAACTGTGTTGCGCGGGTCAACAGATAAAGTATTAAATATTTCTGATAATTTGCTCTGTAGAACATCGTGCTGAAAACAAGTAAAAAACGACCAAATAGAGAAACGTGATATCATTTTTTAAATATGAAAAAATTTAAATAAAGTTTTGTACCTTTGGTTGTGTTTTTGACACTAGGTCTTGGAATGGTGCGTTTCTGAAGAACTGAGAAAGTTGCATACGCTTTTCTTCTTCCACTATATGATTATTGTTATTCTCTGTCAGAATTCTTTTCATACTCTCGAATGTTAATTCTTCTCCAGGTAGTTTCTGCACAAAGGAAGTAATATAGTATTAAGAAGTTACCGACTACTAAATGTATTGAAAATAAAAATATAAGTGTAAATTATACTTTTTGTACACCGGGCGATGAACCTCCACTGTCTAAGTCTGGACCTCCAGAATTAATATCAGCTAGCGAGTTTCGTCCGGCGCTATCAACCCAAGAATGTCTAAAAGAAAATATTTTCACCTCACGTAATTTATATATAATAAATAAAAGTGTAAACTTTAATTGTTACTCTATGTTATATTTAACACAATTATATTACCTGTGCTGTAAAGAATTGCTACTGTAACCTGTGCCTTGCTGCAACTTTCCGCTATCAAGGCCGACTCCCTTTAGACATTCGCTGACAACAGTTTGATCAACTAAAAGAGCCGGCGCTATTCTAGATGTCAAACCAGTATTGTATTGAGACTGTAAATCTGGTAGCAAATGCGGACTTTCGCTTCGGCGCGCTTCTACCACCTTAGAAACAACATTATCAACCACACAATCTAAACGCGTCTTTGTGCACGTTGTTATATAATCTCAGAAAGAAAAAAATATTTTTCTACCAAATAATAATACTTTTACACAAAGATTTTGAAAATTTCAAAACACACTCACCTTATTCGCGTAATCCATCAGAGCAGTAATATTACAGACGTACGATATTAAAACTAACAAGCTGATAACTATTGCGTGCAAGTTGAATTTGAGCGTGAGACTGATTTGACTGCTTGTCAATGCCAGATCTTGAAGGCTCAGCACTAATCTCAACAATTCTAATACGGTTTCCTCAGAAGCCAATTCAATGGCAAGTAATGCCAACGTGGTATAAATAGATTCTACATTTTCTACAGTATTACTAGACAGTTCTAATGATTCGTATAATGCTAAATAAATTTCAGGGCCGTGTTTCCTAATAAAGATCACGTCAGGTCGAGATGCCTTCTCAACATCAAGACCAAGTTCCGCTACATTCACACTAAAAAAGAAAAACAAAGTTACAGCATTATGTAAAGTTTGCAAAGATTAAAAAACAAGATAACAATTAATGTTTAATTAAAACTCGAACTTACGTTGGTTTAGCGAGTTTCATGATGTTTCTATGTCGATCGATTAAAGTATGAAATATTTTTTGTACAAGCAGTCTCATTTCAGCATCCGCTGCTAATGACATTCTCAGCAATGGATCCAAGAAACTGGGCGGGAATGTCGTGTTCAAGTGAATAGTTTGATATTTAGTGCCGACCTACATACATAAAACAATAAGATATTTAGAAAAAGATTAACATTGTGATTTATACATATTTTTACATTAAAATTTTGTTTAAAATTAACAAAAATGTATACCTTTAATAACGATTTCAAAAGTATACTCTGAAGTAACACGTCTCCTTTGCCGACTGACACAATACGATCCGGCTGGCTGTACGGAACCTTACTCATGATGAACATCATAATCTCAATTTTCTGGTAATCCGGTAGATGATTCGCGAACTCTCCAAGGGCGTTAATAAGGGCTTCTTGATACAACTGCTCGTCGCTACTCGACGATTGGTTTCTCGTTACGCTAACTCGGAGATGAGATAACAAGGAGTTTATAATTTCCAATACGGATGGCCCTAGAAGAAATACCAGCGTTGTCAAAACTTTACTCAATACTCGATGATTATCATTTATTTACAAAATTTATATTATCTACAAATACATAATAAATAAATAATAAATAATATGCTCACCAACACTTTCACCTGCGGCAATGGATATAATTTTAGACAAGGTGTCCGCTATGCTAGTGCGAATTTTCGGGGACGACTTTGAATGATCGTCGAGATGCGTCATTAAAGCTTCCACTACAGTGTAAGAATATTGCGACTGTAAACATGTATTAAAAATAAACATTTTATTTTTTACACTTTTGTTTCGATGTTTTTCAATTTACATTGCAATCGATTACGTACCTGGATGGAAAACATAATTATCCTGAAAGTATGAATTGCGAAATAATTAGGAACCCACAACTGATGGTTGTCCAAGTGTCTGCAAATGTAGAAATTAATAAACATTTTCGTGCACAGATAGAAACATATATGTGTTGCGTTAATCTCGAAAATTTGATCTCGTACCTTAACACAGGTCTTATAACACATCTAATGTGGCCGAATGACGCACGTCCGATCAATTCTCGCATGCAAGTTTCCGCGAACTGCGGCGGATCCAATCGTTCTTCAGTCGGACTGTCTGGCGTCGCATCTTCCTTATTGGCATATCTAAAAATACATCTTAGTCAGTAATATATAGAATACGCAATATTGATTTCTTTCAATTCACCTTGAATTCTGCATGTTGTACAGCAATGACGGTACGATCTTGTCCATATGCACAGGTTCCCAAATATTCTCCACCAGATCATCAGATAGAGTTTTTCTCACAACACCCTGTGTTATAACAAATTCAAATGCACATAAGTACAAAGATGTTTGAAAAGAAAAATAAGAAGCAACATTTAGCGGTTTTACCTGTAATCCCTGAATACCGGCGAGTCTTATTTGCTTGCGTATGGCAGGATCGTCGTTATTGGAATGGCACATTGCCGAGTACTTTGACACGAAAAAGTCATAACGTGTGTGATAAGAAGGCGTATCTTCCTCGATATTGGCAAATCTAACAAACTGAAACACAGTACATTAATCGGTAAAACTAACTACAACGCTCTATTGATTGTAACAATTATTATAATTAATGATAAGTATTTGCGCCAACACATGTAATTGTGTTAGTTAAATTGCCACTTACAGATTGTGTCGCTAGAATTTGTAATTGAGGATCTGTCGACTCCAGCAGTTTTTGCACCATTTTTAAGAAGCTTTCAACAAACAGATTCAAGGTTTGTGCATGGCAAGCCACTAGAAGTTGGTCCATTGCCTCCATGGCAATGACAACAAAGCCATTTCTTCTCCTGTTAAAGCATAATTTCGTATTAAACAGAAAATTTCATGATTTATTTCATGATGCTATGACTATTATATATAACATGCTATAATTTGTATTATGTAATTGTACTATGTCAATCGTATTGTATATAGGTGTTATATAGGTGTGGTCAAAGTCTCACTGCAAATGTTTCGAAGCATCGTTTTGTTTTTATTTCTTGTTAAATATAGAATTAAGATAGAATGATGCGCGCTTCAAGACATTTGCACTGAGACTTTGACTGCACCCATAGTCATCTGTATTAATTGCTCCAGTCTTGTATGCATAGTGTAACATGTAATTATATTTATATAATCAGTATATATCAGTACAAGTATAATATCCAATACTATTTGTTTTGTATAAATACTTGAATTAAAATCATTAAAATTATTATAATAATTAATAATTTGTATTTACCTGTAAATATCTCTGGAAGCACGTTGAAATAAATATTCTCCAATTCTATCCAGCTTTTCGGGGCTACTCAATGAATAGAACGTCAGTTTCTCCATGTTATTTTTAATCAAGCCATCCTGACAACCAATGAAGCATATCAATGTGATTTTTTTGCATACAAAAAAAAAGTCTTATTGCAAATATCACGAGTTCAAGTTGCAAATAGAACAATCACTTTGTGCTATCGCCCGCTTGTCAAGGACAGCGCAATTCGGTATTGATTGATGATGCATTCATTCACGAGACCGATCAAATTCTTACAGAAACAAAAACACAAAATCGAAAGAACGGAATTCGGACGATAATCTCACCTGAGGATTAACCGGAAAGATATTGTCAACGAGTCTTTTGTATCTCGGGCGTAGCGCCGAGCAACACCAACAACAACAGCCTGGAATTAAAACATAAAAGATGTAAAGATAAATGTCATCGTTCAATCGCAATCTAAACGAATTAACTTTCGAGTGTGTATGATAAATTCCGATAATTTAAATCGTATATTTACCGAACATATTGTGTCAATCTCGTCGCAAAGTGTGACAGCAATGACAGTTCCGTACTGCGAACGTACATGCGTGTGTGAATAATTCGTTCGATCGGAGTTATCGATAGTTTAGTAACTATCGACAACATCCAGCAATTTATTCCCTACGAAGTTCACGCGCCATCTGCATACGTTTAAAACGAAATTACAGAAATTTGTGTTTTATACCGTTGATAAAATCGCAAGTTTGCAAAATATTTTATAAAACGATTAATTTTTGTTCGAGCGGTTTATACACATTGTTGTAAAATAAATCAGATACAATTTATATATTTCAAAATAATGTAATCCTATATTTACATATTAAAATATTGTTTTTACGTTGTTGTAATATAAATATTAAGATATCTTTTTATCTTAAAAAAAATAATTTTCAACGTCATTGAATATTTACACTATTTTTGTTGGCATGGAGTTTAACGCAAACAAGAATTGCTTTTCATTCTTTGGACATTTCATGTTTATTTTCACAGCTGTTACTTCAAATTTAAGAACTAGAGCATGAAAATATATCATCTCCTCTTAATTAATTCATTTATTATATCACCTTGAGTAAGAGCTTAATCCATCGAAAACTCATTTATAATCATTAGATAATCCTATTAATTAATTATTTATTTTTCCACATTTCTAGCTATAACACCCATCAACAAGATATGAGACAAATAGATACTTACGTACTTACCTGTTAATGTAATATTAATTTTTATTGTACTTCTGCATATATGTATAATTGTTAATCAATTCAGTGAATTTATCTTTTAATTGCACTTTACGGGATATTAATCAATAGGATTAATTAAAATGTAACACGCAGATATCGTTGTTCGATTATTGATTGTAAACAGTGACAACTGTTTGTCAAGGTCAATTAAAGACATAATGAATATGCAAACAATGAGAGAACTTTAAACACTATCTTTTACTAATCGCAAATGATTAAATAAAGAGCTGAAAGAGTCAAATCAAAAGATTACATAACAAATTCCAATCATTGCGACTTTCTGTAGTAATTTAATTCAAACAAGAGAAAAGTTTCTATAATTTAAATAACACAAAATATATTAGAATGCGAATAAAACCAACTTTTCTCTCTTGCACAAATCATCAACACAACACGAACAATGACACAATTGAACATGTCTTTTCGTAAATTTGAGAACTATTAATACGTAATTTTTTTACGTAACTTTTTTATGTATTTTCTAAACTTTTTTTTATAATAAGTGCACATTTCGTATAGTTGAGAACTTACACAAACACGATGACAAAAGATAATGATAATATCCGTGTGTTTTTGATTTTATAATTTAGTAAACAATAAAAATTTTGTTCTTTTGAAACATCCGTTTAGTAATTAATCCGTGTTAATTTCTAAAAAAATTTATTTGTTATTAATAATATATATCATTTGTTATATATGCTCAAAAAGAACATGATGAACTTCACTTGCAATTTTTGATATTTTATATTTCAATAAATTCTTTAATGAATGATTCGATTTTGCAGCAATAAATAAGAGCAAAAAAATATACTTCTTTCGTGTATCTCGGATTAATTACGTATGTTTTATCATTCGCATTCCATTTAACATATATGATGTAAAGTAATTAAGTGTGCAACTTATAGAATTTTATCATGTTTGTATTAAGATGCACAATACAGATGTCATCGCGTTTATTTGCCATAAGAATGTGGCCAGCTATTTGTCGAGATTAAATACAGGTGTAAATCTGGTATAAAAAGGACATAAAAAGTGGTGTCTTCATTCTGGGATCGATTCTCGACTCGACTCATCATCAAGAATGTTGTCCTTAAATGTGCTGTTGGTAATTGGCGCGCTCGCGCAACGTAAGTGAAAATATTTATTACAGTTATATTACAGTTTACATTTTTTTCTGTACATTTGTATTCTCGATTAAAAAAAAAAACGGTTTTTTTCGCTCAATGTAGTTTTTGCATTAAAGTATGACGTGTATTTGTGTACATGTACGTACATTGTATTCTCTATGCAGAGACTTTCGCTGATGAACCCGAAGCGATTGTCGGTGGTCAGCCAGCGGGTTTGGGCGAGTTCCCGTGGCAGGTTTCTCTGAATGTGAACGGCCAGCACATCTGTGGCGGATCCATCATCGCCCCAACCAAGATCCTAACTGCCGCGCATTGCGTTAAGGGCATTGTTTCTCCACCTTATTCCAACTTCCGCATCGCCACCGGAAATCTTAGAGCCACTCAGGGACAGAAACATTCCGTGTCGAGCGTACGCATTCATCCGAACTATGTAGACAGCGTGAGTCAATCTTGGGTGAATGACGTCGCTGTGATCACTGTAAGTCGACCTAAAATAATTCTTTCACAATGTGAAGTTACGATCTGAGTACTTATCTTTTTTTTTTTGTATTTTTGACAGTTTATGTTTGAATCATGCTTTTCATTATTATTATTATTTTTTTATCCGTTTCAGCTTAGTGCACCAATTCAATACAATCAGTACCAGAAAGCCATTGGCCTGGCTAGCTCTGCGCCGGTTCCCGGCACTCAGTGCACTCTATCCGGATGGGGCAAGACGAGCGCTAACGGTCCGCTCTCCACCACTCTTCTGAAGATGAACCAAGCCATTGTCTCCAAGTCCACTTGCCAGAACGCACACAGAGGTCAGCCTATTTACGACAGCCACCTGTGCGCATACAACAAATACGGAATTGGTGCCTGCCAAGTGAGTATAAGCATTCGTTGATGAACTAGACCTAATTGGTCCTGTGATTTGTATGACACATAACGGTGAGACAAAAAACTCGGAAAAATTAATGGAAAATCATCTGTCTTTTCACAGGGTGACAGCGGTGGTCCGTTCATTTGCAATGGTGTACAGTATGGTATCACCTCATGGGTTCTTCCTTGCGCTGTTGGCGTACCTGATGCCTACACCAGCGTCTACCATCATCGTAACTTCATTCTTTCTTCGTAAACGGATGTATCCCAGTCTCGCCACGTTATGATATGCTACATATATATAAAGTATATAATTATATTGACTTGCCAAGCTGATCATGTTTAAAATCGTTCAAAATCAATCGTTCTAATTTCTATGTAATTACGTCGCAGTCTTTCTGGGTTTAAAAAAATTATACCATTACGCAATAAATTAAAAATACACATAATAATATTTTTTATTGTTGTATTTTTAACTGGTCCCTTGTGCGATGAACAATTATTATGAGTGAAATATATAAAGAAGAAATGAATAAAGAAATAGAAAAACAGAAGAAATTCTGGAATTTCGTTCGATTGAGGACAACAGTTTTTTTTAACAAAATTACTCGACAATTACTGTGTATATTTAGTTATTCTTTTTGATAAAATATTACAAAATAAACATTTTAATCAAAACAGTCTATTACAAGATATTTTATTTGATATTTTAATGAAGTAAAAGCAAAGATAAAAAAGCTCTAAAGTGTAATAATATACTTAATATTATACTACGATAAAATCTTCTTTTGTATCTTCTTTTTCATCTTTTGTAAGATAAAAACATCTACTTTAAGATAATACTATCTTGTAAAAAATAAAAACATCTTATTACGTTAAAATCATCTTTTAAAAGATAAACTCATCTTATTTAAGATGATATCATCATTTTTTAGATAAAATCATCTCTTAAAAAATAAAATCTTCTTTTTAAGATAAAATCATCTTATTTAATATTGTCCTAAGATAATATTATCCAGCCTATCGCTGCTTTCCTTTTAGGAGACGCAGTCGACACAAGTCGACACAAGAGTCGTTCTGTCTTTGTTCAGTATTCAGTGAGAAACAAAGACAGAATGACTTTTGTGTCTCCTAAAAGGAAAGCAGCCTATATCTATAGACTGGCGTTTGCTCCTCTCTCGCAGTGGCGTGAGCCATATATGCAAAGAAGAAGAAGAAGAAATTAATTATGAAACTGTGAGAGAATAAACATATTCGTGGAAAAAGAAAGAATAGAATGCTTGCTATATGAATAAATGCATAAAAATCTGTCAAAACGTCAATTCAAATTCATGTTGGAAAGATAATACAGAGTGATATTATCGATCAAATATCAAGCAGAATATACGTGTAGTATCCAAGTTTTAGTTCAGGTTATAAACAAACTGTTGCAGGTTTGACTAAATGCGCATTTTAAATATTTTAATGAAATAACAATAATCTAGATTGTTCCTAATATATAATTCAGGTAAATCTGCAACTTATTTTGAAAAAATGTTTATATTATATCGTTTTTATGCACTTCTTAATACTTTTATCATAGAGATATGGATATTTCAAGCAGAAAAGAAGTGAAGCAACAAAGTCAAGATTTCACTTCTGCTGATCGTTTGGGATCTGATCAATTCGATTTGGTTTACGGTAGAAAATTGAAATCTCCGGTACTTGGTCATCATTATCAACTTCCTGATTTACCGACAAATTATTTGCCACCCACAATTCTGGATACGTCTCTATTGCACGTGAGATTCCACATGTCAGCCATAAAAATCATCAAATTTATTATATAGCGTATATCTCAAGTTATTGTATTGAAGAGATTTTTCAATTTCATAGATTCCCGTTTACGCGCATTTGAAAGTTTACGATTTAGAGCCCGTGCGTCTGCCAGAGATGCCGTCAATTTTGTCCTCGTTATGCAACGACGTTATGCAATCTTCGTAAATATTCCTCATATATGCTATTATTATATACGTTATTTATTTATTATATAACAAGAAGAAGTATATTATAAGAAATATATAACAAGAATTTCTTTTTCAGAGAAAATACCGTACGCAGCAAATCCTCGAAAGTGTCGACTGCACGAATGAGCGAAGAAGATAAAATATCCGCCTCGCACAGTGTTCACGGTGGTGCAAAATCTGCGCATAAAAAATGACACAATCTTAAAAAAATACATGTATACAAACAAACTCTTAAACTTCCTTTATATTTTTGCACTCACCTTTAACGGCATCGCAGATCTAATCTACATTTGTGTGCCAGACTTACATATCACATCTAGTGTCTCTGTTCAGATAAGTGTCTTTGACAACATATGTCAAGGTCATTGAGGGTGCTCCGTTTTTGTAAATATTTACCTCTTAATTTATCTCTTAATTTATAATTTTTCATTGTAATAGAGAGTTTTGTGCAATAAAACAAATAGAAGATACGTACTGATATGTAGTACTTTGATCATATTTCATTTTTCAAAATCCAAGCGTGAAGTTTTCTTTTACTATGTTGGTTGCACTGACACTAGGAAAGGGGTCGGTAAACATGACAGTCAGAAACGTCAGAAATGCGGACTGTCATAGAATAGAAAAAAAAAAGAATATTGCAGGTTTGATACGTCAGGTTATACTCAATGAAGTGAATTTTTAGAGCAAATTATCGGTTCGTCGCTACCGAGTCGGACAGACAGGGTGACGAACGTCGAAGGCAGTGTCACAACATGCGATAATGAGAGGATTCAACGAATTTCTCGCGACCTGCGTCGTATTGCAATATCTGTACGGTGTGGGCATCACACACTTGCTCATCAATGTCAAAAATCAGGTGTGAATGTGTACCGCGAATATAATAAAGAGTTATTTTACTTGCGTATAGGATTTGTGCGGAGGAGTTTATGTGCAGAACGTGTTTTCTCAGACAAAATATTCTTTTGAGAAAGATTTCTTGCTAACCTCAAATACGAATTATACATGCTTTGATACTAGAATATAAAATGTTTCTGATAACAAATATGACTGCAATATTTTTAATACATCGATATTAATGTTATGTATGAAAAATTGTTTATTTTTTACAGGGTGGTGATATTCTTTTAGAAACAATCTCCTCTAATGTTACGGAAGATCTGATCACTCTCGAGTTCCAACGTTCTGATGGCACATTGGTCACACAACTTATTGATTTCAAAAATGTAATTTAGTTTAGACACTCATCAAAATACAGAATTGTTTTATGATTGTTCTTTGTTTTTTAATCATGTGTTTTTTTAATTATTTGAATTACAGGAAGTTCAAGTCATAAAAGCTTTGGTGCTTGGTGAGGAGGAACGCGGACAAAATCAATATCAAGTAATGTGTTTTGTGAATCACTTTTATAAAGTAGATTTCATATCATCTGACGCAATGTCCAAATTGCGTCAAAAAAATCCAGGTACTGTACGTGTAGCGGAAGAGGATAGGGGTCATGTCAATTATACAATGGACCTTTTTCTGGATGTGTCCCAGTCTAAGGAAATTTCGAAACACGTTACAACACTCTGCGCAGAAGCATCTGGGTCAACTTATACTAGAAACGATGATATAAAGCAATGGATTCAAAGACCAGGTATCTTATTTAAGATTAAAACCGATATAATTACACGTACATATATATCTTAAGCTTCAATAATGGCTAAAACTAACTTTGTTTATCAGGCTCATCAGAAGAGCTACTCATGGCAGCTATATATAACTTTACAACTGTATCGCAATCTGGTACAAACGATTCAAGATCAGTGCTGATTTCCAAATGCGCTGATACATCCAATCTCTGGGCACCTTGCACGTGCTCTTTGGAATTGTGTATCGGTTGGTATCCGTGTGGTCTAAAGTTTTGCAAAGGAAAATCCGATGGCAAAAAAATAGCCAGCACCTATCGATGCGGTATAAAAACCTGTAAGAAATGTTTTATATTCTCATATTATTCAAAAATGAAACAGAACTGTCTGTGGGATGAATGACATATAAGAACGCTGTAGATAGCAATTTTTAATTGAATGAAACTATATGCGTGCATTACAATGGAGTAGGACAAAATTAGAACGGAGAATTATTCTGTTATAAACGTATTAAACATCTTGAGTTAATTTTATGAAGAAAAAGAGATATATGAATATAGTTAAAATGCAGAACAAAATTTGTTGAATAAATAAAACTTCTAATACTCTCTTCATATAAAAAAAAACTTGATATTAAATATTTTAATTACATACGTAATACTAAATGTATTTTTCACACAATTCCTACTTAAAATCTTATTTAGTGAAATTTATTTTTTTTTGTAAGTAGATAGAATATGTGTTGTATATTGAACATGTGCGAGTTTAGTTTTAATCACGATTGTAACACGCCAAAGCAAATCAGCAAAAATATTTTTGCAAAGTTAGATTTATACTGAGGAAATATTTACAAACATTTATAGCAATATGTGAGTAAATTACACTCTAAAAGAGTTTGAGTTACAAAGATTGATACACTAAAATATGTTTTACTTAATTTTTATCAATGAAAAATTTACTTTGAAAGAGAAAAGATGAAATATTGTCAAACACAATTAATTAGTAATTATACAAAGATTTTGCTGATAAAAAAGAGAGAGAGAGAGAGAGAGTGCGGATATTTGTAACATTTATAATTTTTTTCCCTATATACTTATTGAATGAGAATTTGTCTGATACATTCCACAATTTGTCAAATGTGACATTTTTTGTGACAGTTTTAATTCTATGTTTGTACAATTTATTTCTTTATAACAATTTGTTGTAGACTCAAATATGGTTTACCACATTTCTGTTGAATTTATTGAACATTCCGATTCCGATATTTACGATCCGCAACATGTGAAATCATTCCACTTATACACTCGTTAATTTTATATTTCTCATTACGTTATTTATAATACTTTCCATACTTTGATAATATGTTACAAATATTCCATTCAAAGTACCAAGACGTTCTGTTTTATTTATCGTACCGAAGTATATCAGAGGATAATTTATACGCAGAGAATTTTATACATAACACACACACACACACACTTGTAAAGCTGCCATTTATACATTGTATGTGTGTACATTATGAGTTCCAATTGTACATATAGGCATGTGTTATACGTGGAGAAAACAATAAGTTAACATGTGTAGGGATTGTATATATAAAAATATTCAATGTTAATAACTGTTGAAAACTGTATAGTCTGTATAAGATGTGCAATATATCGTGCGAAACTCTAAAGATATTTGTTTAAGATAAATGACACTTTGTAATACATTAAAAGTATCGATACAAGTTTTTGTAACGAATTGTCTTCGCGCGTTCCGCTGAGAGAACCATATCTAGCGGATCATTGCAAACAAGACTGCAAAATCTGTCCATTTAAACGTATTAATAATACGTTAAGCCATTGCTCTTTGAGATCCCTCGCAATTGTACACATTAGATTTATTACAGTAACAAAAACGAAATTATTCCAAGCGAGGAAAAGTACGTATACTTACGATGTAACTGAAGTTTGCAGTAATTGTGTATAAATATCTACTCAGTATTCGGTGTGTCGTTTAGTCGAGCAGCTATTATAAAAAAAACGTATGAAGCACTCTGTTTAATGATACAGGAAAATAATGTATACTCAACATAATTTCCTCGATAGACCTCGTTATCTATTGTCATTCACATTTTTCTAGCAGTCGATTGAGTACAAAAACTATGTATTTATGATATGATTTATTTATTAACTATGTATTTATGATGATTTTTCAAAATCCAGCTAGAATTAAAAAAAAAAAAAAGAATCCAGTGAATGAGACTCAAAGAACGAGATTTACTTTGGTTCAATTGGGAAAGCGTTACATAATCTGTTAAATAAAAAATGTCAGATCTTTCCGCAACTTTTGGCCGATTTTTAAGTGGCAACCTTTACTGCTCCGAATTCGCAATGGAAAATTGATTGAAAATTGTAATGGACAATGTTAGTATCACATGCCACAAATACTGTAAAACAACTCTAAATGTCGCACAACTCTGTTCAATGTATGTATAAATCAATGGGGATTAATACGTCAAATAAAACACGACAAATATCGTAAATAGCAATACAACATTTGTATAGAAACATACATATATATACATATATTATGTATACACATGTGTATAGATTCAAAGCAAAGACTTGGGAATCGAGTTTCCAAAGTCGCCTTGATGTACTGATTTTTAGTATCACAAACTGTTTTAATTATACGATAGCGAATTTATAATGAATGTTATAAGAACAATCCGAGAAAGGACGATGCACGTGCAATAAGAATTTCTAGCTAAATAAGAGATTAATTATTTATATCGTAATTTATTTAATATTTACTCTCCTTCGTGTCACAAATGTTTTTTTTTTGTGTAAAAATAATAAATATGCTATGTATTTATTTGGTAAGCAAGAGACTATACAATTATCCAAGACCTTTTGCAAGGAATAATTATGTAATATAACATATTTAAGATAAGAAAATGTTCGTCAATCTTTAATCGACCTTTGTATCAACTCTCTTTGATGTAATTTATGAGTATCACTGTGTATGATTTTCAGCTTTACACACATATAACGTTGTATATCTCATATATACATATAATATTTTTTATATATATTTAATAAAAAGAATTAATATATATACACAACATATACATAATGAGTGTGATATTTTTAATAACATACGATTCTCCTGAAACGAAAATCCTGAAAAATTAATTTCACTACATGTGCACAATTATAAAATTCTTTTGTGTGGTAGGATGTTCCTTCTAGAGGAAGTATGTGCAAAGTAAATGTTTGTTCACAAATGGTTCTGTATTAAGTATAATACATTAATAATAATAATAATAATAATAATAATAATAATAATAATAATAATAACGTTAATAATTGATAATAGTAAACATATAATAATAGCAAAATAATATAGTTTATAATAATTTAGTTCTAAACCTCTCTCCACACAGAATCCTCTTTCTCTTTCTTTACACATTTTTACACAAGCATCGAAAACGTTTTGCATCGCACACTCGCATTTTCCCACCAAACTTATGTAAAAAATGCGAAACAAAAATAAATTATATACAACAAGATAACTAATACTTTAAAGTTTTTTTTATTAGGTAGATAAACGTTTAAGCGATAAAGTTTTAAATGATAAACCGTTTAAGTACATATTAAAGACAAATGGTGTCACACAGTATATGTAAATACGAGAACACTTGATGCAAAACAACTTTCCCTTAATATATTGATATGCTTTCCGATATAAAATAATATATAACTTTAATATTCTTTGTGTGTTATATCGCGCGCTGTTATCTTTGCTACTGTATTACTTTGATAATGAACTCTACAAAAGTGAAATCTACATGAGTATGAAAATTCTTTCTTGCAACTTTTTATGCTATTCTAAATCAGAGCCGCGCAATATCAGTCGTTTGTCATTGTAATATCTTCTGTTCATATTATAATTTATGTTCATATATAAAACACGTGTAAATAAAGTTTTAAAGATTCACACGTGTGAAACTTTTATGAGAAAATTATAAGAGTTCTAGTAAAGAAAAAGAAAAAAACACTTTTTTGTGTCATGTAACATAATTTATAGTGTCGTTCTTGAATATTTATATCTTATGCGGGTTATTTTTTTATTCATACATTATATAACATTCTTTTTAGCGATAAAAGATGTTATAAAATATAATATTCACTTCTATTCAACACAATTTTGCTGTGGCTTGTTAACAGACGACAATTCCGATACACGTCACTCTGATCCGCATGAATGTATAATCTCAGTTAAACTGAAATATTCACTAAGAGATCGTGCTTATTTTATACACAAGAGATACTCGAACATAATGGATAGAGAGAGTTCCCAAAGAATCAAACTGCAATCAAACCTTGTTGTCCGCGCGTGTCGCGGAATAAAATAAAATTAAATTGCAAAAATGACATCTTTCCTCACAGAGATTCAAAGTTACTCTAATTTTCCGAAATTAACGAAACATACCTTTTCTATCGCGAGAATAAAATTGTTTTTATATTCTTTCGAGTAGCACCAAGCCACGTGACGACGTCAAATTTGCACACACAAGCGTCCCGTTCCTTCCTCTGTCGCGATCAAAAGACAAGTTTTTCCGCACACCGATCTGAAGTTCAGACCCGAACTGCGAGAGACATCCATGCACGAAAAACAAAAGAAGAAACACTAGCTACTGTAGCAAGTTTTGCGCACATCCGCAAGTATAACACTGAAATCGTCATCACCCTTGGACACGTGGTCCATATTCGAAGTTTGTTGCGGTTGTTGATGCTGTTGCGCAGCCGAGTGATGGTCTGGATACTTGGACACTTCCAAGCTCTGATGGTACTGCTCCATGGTGGTGTGACTGATCGCGCCGACGTTCGGAGCACAACGAACGTCCTTGCCACCCTGTTGATCATCGACGATGCACTGCGAGGTCGATATGTCCAGCTGGGTATGCGGCGATGCCCCGTAGTAGCGCAAATCGCTGGCGTAGTTGTGGTTGCTGTCCAGCATGCTCTGCGAAGACAGACTTGAGTGCGCTATGATCGGATGGGAATACTTGAAGTACTTCTCCAGTTGCAACGCTTGCTGCTGATCGTCCTCGGTGCTCATGCCGGGATCGATGTGGCCGCCAAGAATCGCATGTTGTTGTTGTTGTTGTTGTGGCGGCGGCGGCTGCTGCGCGCTGCCGGAGGACGCGTCCGTCTGATAGTCCTGGTGATGCGGCATTTGATATCGATGCGTACCTGCGAGAAACAAATCAACAGTCGATTGTGGAACGCGGACTGATAAAAAATGTAAGATTAATAAATAATTAACTATCTGATTATATTAGCTAGAGAATAATTATTTATTTTAAACTAAAATAATTCTTCTGTTCTATTGAATTAGTGCGAAAATTAAAGTCGTTAAATCTGCGTGTGAAGGAAAAAATATTACCGGAACAGGTTTCGGCAGCACCGCGTATTCCAATGGATTGCTGCCGATTACTGGCGCACTGGACCGGATTGTAATTACTCTCGACGGTGGATTGCATCGAGTAGCTCGTCGCGCTCTTGGACGACTGCGTGCCGCTGTAATGCTGCAACGATTGATCGTGCGGCGAGGCAACCGGCGGATAAAACGTGCCCGTGACTGATCCGACGTTGTCGAAACCGGAGCGTAGTTTATTGCATGACACCATCATACCGTTCGCTATGCCTACCGCGGCGATGCTCGTCGACTGTCTCTCAAAGTTCAAGTAACCCACCTGAATGACGCAATCGCATAATGTAGAACGAATCTTTTGGTATGTTTTGCTTTCTTTCTCTTTACTAATAATTTAATACAATAATAAACAATTAAATAGACTTATTTTTTTTATGTCACTATTAACAAAATTTTACACATTTTATAAATTTTATACATGTTTAAAATAAAATATTTTGAAGATTGAAAAAAGAATTTTTTTATATAACGTTGCATCGCAAAAAAAATGCACAAGAGTGTTAATATGTTAAACAATACGTTGCGCAAATACGTACGGATTTCTTGTACGTTAAAGTGTCCGTGTAACCGCCTGAGTTCTGACACGACGATATGCTGACGTTACCGGCGTGAGCCGCGTGCAGTTGATTGTCGCTACTCATAAAAGTATATCGTTTCGTTTGGTCGTTCATATCTCCGTGTTGCTTCGACGTGCCCTCCATCAGATCTCGTTCCGGATCCGGATTCTGAGTGGACGCCAGATGACCTCCGTCGCCTGGTTCGATTAAATTATCATCGTGTGATGACTTTGTTTTTGTTAACTCCACTCGTTACACGTGCTACGCAATTATCCGTCCCGATCGCGCGCGCGTTCTATGTATCAATTACTTCGCATTATATTTTACAATTGTTTTGTATGTAGAGGTTTTAACAGGCGTGTAATGCACGGGGGAATTAATCGAAAAACGCGTAACGAATCCCAAAGTACACAACGCGACATCGATGCGCGCGACTCGTGCGCGATTTAAGTTTTTGGTTCGCAAAGTAAACAAAGATTTACCGTCTGGCTCGGGACTGGCCACCGGAGATATGTCCGGAGTGTGAATAATGGGCGTATAAGGGCTGCCATAAAGCGAATTACTTTCCGATTTGTACTCCTGGATACCCTGCTGCTGCTGCTGCTGATGATACAGAGATGAGATCGGGGAATGGCCGCCCCACGGGATCTGAGGTATACTCTGGTAACTGTCCATCTTGGACCTTGAAACGGCAATATTTCCATTTGTACACGCCGTATTGTAAATTATTAATTATAATAAAACACACAAGCGCTTTATATATTGTTTAATTATTAATTTGTACGATTCGACTTTGCCGCAATTACACGTGATATATTTGCGACGCGGAATGATTTATACCGCGCTCGTTTGTTGAGCTCTCTAAACGCCGCTTAAATCTCACGAATATAACGTCATCGGCATCATAATGCGGCGCTTTAAATCCTCGCCGAGGGATCTCTCAATTAACCGGCGCGGTTATACCATCAGGCGCAACGTATGTACCTTCATTAGCGGGAAAGCACACACGCGGCCCAGGAGAGTATTGTGTGTGTGTGTGTGTGTGTGTATCGACTTACATGGAATGATGAATCGTCGTGCCCGTGGGGTTGGACCTGTTGCCCGCGGTGTTGGTCGCTAAGGGCGGCGAGGACGGTGCACCGGGTGTCCGTTTCGCGTGCTTCCTACGCCGCGGTCTGTACTTATAATTCGGGTGTTCCTGCATGTGTATCACGCGTAGCCTCTCGGCCTCCTCGACGTACGGCCTTCTGTCTTGCGGCGTCAGCCCTCGCCATTTCTTCCCTGCGAGAGGAGCAAAGCCCCGAACAAAAGTTCCCGTCAAATAAAGAATACGAGAGAAGCGGAAGAAGAAAAGAAAGAAATAAAGAAACGCGCGAAACAACACGTGCGATATGCGTAGCATGATTCTTACCGTTGTTCCGGAACTTCCTGCGTTGCATGAACAGTCAAAATGTAAAAATATCGTGAGAGATATACGATGGTGAAAAATTAAATATATTCTATATGTATATTTATTTTATTTATTAGATTAGATTGGATAACTTAATTTATAAAGCGCTTTGGGAAAATCCTCTCAGGCGCGAGAAACTAACAAAATAAAAAAAAATAAAAAAAATATAAATAGATATAAAAATCAATTATTTAGAGAATTAAATTGAGGAGAGAATTTCTTGAAATTAAAACAATTATTTAAAAAATAGTGGCAGATAAAAGTAAAAATGAATGCACATAGAGAATTAAGAATTTAAACAAAAGAAAATAATAACACACAAACATAAAAAACAGAAATAAAAAATTGAAAAGATAAGAAAACTTTATATTATTCGATAAAAAATCGAACCACAAATTAAATATTCGACAAACATAATGGGAAAACAATTTTTAACGAAAAGTAAACCTTAAACATCTACTAGCCAAAGACGAATTTGTTAAATGCGTCTTTGAATCGTTCGAGAAGAGACGTCGCGTCGGCGCGCGAAGTTGCACCGCACGCGCGCTTTATTGCAACGGCTCTTCTCTTAAAAAAAAAATAAAAAATCGAAATTCTCCTCTTGTACGTAAATACTCGATAAATTACCACTTCTCGACAATAATGGGACAAGCCCCCGGTGGTACATCTCGGTGTATCCCGAAACCCGATAAAATCGCTCGGTCAGTCGATCCCTTTTGGTTAACGACGCGTTTAATTCGGCGAGCGCAAAAGAAGAGGAGAGGGGAACGAGAGCAGCCCCTATCTCTCGTCGCCCCGATACGTTCGCGCAAAACGAGCAGAGAAATACTCTTTTCTCTCGTCGCGCATATACACAAGTGTGTATATATACATGTATATGTACATATTATACATATATGTATATATATATATATATCTGTACACACATATGTACATATACACGTACGTGTATTACAGGTGGGCTTGGTCGGCGGCGGCGGCGGCGGGTCTGACGACCAAGCCTGGAATCTGCCTCAGTTGCGTTCAATATGCCAACATGGTAGGCCGGAATATCATTAAGCGAGGCATAAGGGTTAATACGAACGTAAGATGTTCGCGACAAGAAGGAAAAAATTGAGCGCGAGGCGGATGTACATACATATGGCGCGCGCTGGCGCACATTATGTACGTACACGCACGGCCACGCCGATGTATATACGTGTGTATATACATATGTGCGTATATACATACGTGCGTGTATATACATGTATGTACGCGCGCGGTCCTGTATAGGTACATAGGCGCATGGGGGCGTAGATATGGGTGCGCCCGTGCCTTCAGCCAGCCACAAGGCACGAACCATTATTTCATATTTCATTTTGTATATTTCAACTCCGAAGAGAAAAGAGAGAGAGAGAGAGAGAGAGAGAGAGAGAGAGAGACGCGCCCTGACCTATGGGGACTCCGAAAGAGAGAGAGGAGAAGCGGGAAAACAAGAGAAAAACGTATTACGCATCTTCTTTCTCTCTCTCTCTCTCTTTCTCTCTCTCAGCGGGGATCATTGTCGAAATCACACCTCGCGGCATGGTCTCTCTTCCGCTTTGCGTCTCTCAACAATGAACAATCGCGGGAGCGTTTTCGTATTCTCGAAATGCCGCAACGGATTTGGGACGAGGAAAATGAGAAGAAAGGAAGAGACAAGAAAGAATCGCTCTTTTTGTCGTCTGACAATGTTTTTTCTTGTCCGGATGACTTTTGTCTGTTGCTTTTTTCATCTACATCTTTCGTATACCCGCCGACTCGCTCTCTTCTTTTGCGCGAGGAAAAGGTCGGGAGAGAAAAGCAGTCGAGAGAGGACCGCAGTGGCTCTCGAACGAGGTTTTCGGCTAACAATAAGTAAACTTAATTTAATATTCCTGGGCGCGCGCGCGCGTGCTCAAAAGAGCTGTGCGCGAGAGCGCGAGCGGTGAGTTATCCGGCGGTGATTCATCATCACACCCGCGCACAACCGCGTCCCACCGTGATGTCCTCGTTAAGTATTCTAATGGTTGGCGTGTACCTCTAATTTACCGCGCTTAGGCCGAGGTCTCGTCGGACGACTTCATTAATTTCGATGTTTCGAGCAAAAGCCGCGGGCCCGGCGGATTAGGAGCGTCGTCATCGCGGAGAAGGACCGCATTTCATTTCCTCTCGTCTTTTGCAGAACTGTACTTACTGGTACAACCGAATAATAAAAGCACCGTTCAACAATAATTTTAATTTTTCAAGTAAATATTATTATTATTTTTAGCACAAACGGTAATAAATTTCTATAAGAGAATCCTCGTTGAGCTTCGTTCACATCGACGCGTGCGATTGAGCAAATCCTCGAATAAACAGCTTGACGCTGACACTCTCTCTCTCTCTCTCGACTCGGAAAAATACGAATATAGAAACGATTATTGGAAAGGATATTTTTTTCCTTTCGATCGCATCTTTCACTCGCGGCGGAATGCGAAGCGGAGTGTCGCTTTGGACGTGAATATTTTGTAAGAGCCATCCGACGCTTCTCTCTCTCTATCTCTCTCGCGATTTCAATCGATTCTCGCGAAATCGCGCGCGCGTTTGCGGGATCTAAGACACGAATCTAAGAAACCATAAATAATTAGCGTCGCGACAAATTACGAGGCCTGTAAGATTGTTTCGCGCGCTTCGCCGAAGTCGCGCGCGCGCGCGCGCGTGTCAAAAGGTCCTAATCGCCGGTGTCCCCGTCGCGCATTTCTCATCTCGTCGACTCTCGTCGTCGCGTCTCTCTCCCCCTCCCCCCCCAACCGTTGACATTTTCCAGAAAGCTCGTTCGTTCTACCGCCTAATTAACGATTCCGCGGTGATTTACGCACGCGCCCGTCGGTAATTCACCCGGCGATCGGCGATTAAACCTTTTCGTCGTTCTTCTCTCTCGCTCGCTCGCGCACATCGAAGGCGCCCAGACACCTCGGGAATTTCGTTATGGTCGCGGGTGCGCGGGCGGCGATCGCCTGAACAGACACACTCGGCGCGAATTGGCACGTGACATTTTCAGAATCGAGCGAGAAACTCTCGGCGCGGCATTTAGAGAATAGCATATAAAACCCGTGTTGCTCCGTCACCGGAGTTAGTTAGCGCGCTCGTAACCATCCCTGTTTTTCTCGACTTTAATTATCGCGAATACCCGATAAATTCTATATAGACGCGAGCGCGGATTGAAATATTTCTCGCGGCGATTCGCCTCGCCGCCCCGCGAGCCAGTCGTCGTAAACTATACAGCATCGCAAGCTAGGCTCGTAAATCTATCGGCTTGTAACGTTTCTTCTCGATGGTGATTCGAGAATCTCGAGCAGTTGGGTAACCACCAATTGACACCGCTCTTTCGACAACGAGACAGATCGACGACAAAACACACATAATCGTTTTGCGATATCGGCGTGATATCGATTTCGAATTGAATAAAAAATGCGATACATTTTTAGACGCACGCAGAACACGCGTCGATAAGGTATACGAGCAAATGGTCTACGGAGCGACGAGAAGGCGAAGAGACGAAGAGAGGAGGAAGACGGGGAGGCACAACGGGGCCGGGGCCCACATCGGGGACCGCATCGCGCACCCCGCCCAACCTGGGGGTCGCCCACTGTCACCATTAATAATACGTCTCCCGTCCCGTGATGTATCTCATCTCCTTCGGCGTTGTGTGCGCGCCGCGTCGGTGTCGCGCGCACACGTTCACCTGCGCACTACAAACGCAACATTGATGCACACGACGACGTGCGATCTGGGAGGGGTCCGCGCGCATAAAAGACGAGTTTTCGAGCGTTCTGCCAAATTTGGCGGAAGTTAAAAGGACGACCTTATAAATGAAAAAAACAGAGAACAATTGCGTCGAGATTTTTTACAAATCACGAATCAAGTTTAATCTCACGTTTAATAAAATTTGTGACGTGTCGTACTACAATAAAGAGAGAGAGCGCCTCGAAAGAGAGGAGGAAAAAAATCGAAACACATTTTGTTATATTGTCGCGTGGCGACTCTCTAACGATGACATCCACTTTGACAGGACAAAGACATCAGGTAGGCAACCAACTGCCATTCAGACTCGCTCGCACACGTCGTGAGCGTACGAACGACTCGACGGCAACGGCCACGTGGACGACGCGTCTCGCCTCCTCGTGTTCCGCGAACGATCTCGGTGAATGAACGTACCCTTTGTGTGCGATACATATTTTCTTTGCTGCGCGAATTTTACAAAATTTCCCGAGTAGCTATTGCTCTCTCTCGGAATCAATTCCACTCGGAATGTGACTTCTATTTTGTTTTTTCGTTTTCTTTTCTTTTTAAAAGATAGAAAAGATAGAAAAAAAGACACAAGTCGAAATCTATTCCGATCGGAATAGATTTCGAAGATTTACATGATAGCTACCGCGATCAGTGTAGATCATATTGAAGATCTCGGTAGAAACTCAACTCGACAAAAAAAAGATAAAGTTCAATAACTCGAAGAAAAAGATCGCAACGCGCGCGTGTCTTTTAATTCGAAGCTCGAAAAAGAAACAATCGGTCATTGCCTCTACAATTCACGGAAGAAGAAGGATAGACACGTCCGGATTCTCGGATTCCTCGGCGAGGAATGAGTCGGAAAAAAGTCGCGCCTTTCGTTCGTCACGAAATCGCGCGAAGGAAATCGTTTCCACGCTGCCAGCGGCGGAAAAGACATAGTGACACGCTCGCGCTTGTTCCCCGTCGAGAGAGTTACGTTGCCGTGTTTGTGGTACAACGCGCGGATGGACACGCGTCGTACCACTCGCCGTAAACTTCACAGCCGAACTTCGCGAAAGTC